TACCTTCATTGAACTTTCAGTGGAATTAAAACAAAAGCATCTTTCATTCTTACCTGCATAATGAAAAGACTGAAGTCAAGAATTGCGTAGATGTTTCTGTAAAAATATTTATGAAATTGTCAGACAATTGTTACTCTGTACCATTTACGTTACTTTGTATGAAAATATTGCAAGTGTATTTTTCAATAAAGAATTTATAAACCCACAATTTTATGTTCTTGTGGGAGAAAAGCATGCGATCTGCAAAGCTAAAAAAAATCCCAGTCTGTAGCTCTCAAACGCTAGGTTTGACCATTAGTGCAAAAAAGAAACTGTCAAAATGATCATACAGCTGGGCTGCGCAGGGCACCCAATGTACTTGATTGCAAGAACTTCAGTCAAACATTGCAATTAATGGGTTAAAAGAAATAATTTAAAAAGATCACACTCCTTAGTCACATCACAAGGAAAAGGCTTTGCTCTTGCCCCAGTTTAGTCATCGTGTTTGCTCTGACTGCGTCTCCTCCTGGGGCATTGCCGGAACCCGGCACACCACCACCTGCATGGCTGTGGGCACCTGGTGCAGCTCCTCTTCGCCGAGGAGGAGGAGGGTGAGCGGGCTGCCAGGGCTACACAGCAGGAGGGGACCCTAGAACAAAAGCAGGCTGCTCTGTCCCTTGCAGCGGCCTGCAACACAAGATGTCACAATTCAATCCAATGAAAGCAGAATTGTTGTCATAGATACCAGTCAGCCCATGCGCTCATGTTTGCAGTAAATCAGGGGAATTTCTGAGAGTTCTGGGTTGTTAAGAGCCCATTTGGCCACTGGCAGCCGGGCACTGCATTTTCACAGCTGCGTACCCTGCTGCTGTTACCCCGTGTTTTCTCTGAGCAGCCCTAGCACCAAGCCTCATCAGCTTCTGTTGTTTCTGTTCCTTTCTGAAACCATGTCCTTCAGTCACCCTCAGTTGTAAATAACAACAGATGTACAGTTTGTAGTTATGCTTTGAAACAAGTGCTAAAAAAGCTACTTCAACAGAGGTGTTCCACGGGGAAAAAAAGAAAAAGTAAATATGATTTTTAAAAAAATTTCAAGTACTTTGAATATTTGTTTCACGACTTAGACTAGACTAGTTCAGTTGGAAGGGACCAACAACGCCACCTCGTCCAACTGCCAATGCAACTCTTCAAGACTGCTGCAGCATAACTCCAATTTCTCCTTCTGAAATATTCTTTACAGAATTTGAAAGTGCAAAGATGATATTCAAAAATGCCACTTTCTCAAAGCATGGGCAGGACTTAAACTTAGGTTTTTCAGTCAGTTTTTCATTAAATGATGTCCCTGTACTAAGAAACATGACAGCTCAATTCAGGAGGAAGGATTTGATTTCAGTGGCATCACTTCAGGACTCATTCGCCTACCTTGCTCCTGGAACAGCTTCTTCTAATAGGCGGAGCCGATCACAGACGACATAGTCAGTGTTCTCTCCCCTTTAAAAAAAAAAAAAAAAAAAAAAGATGATTCAGACTATTCATTCTAAGCTCAACAAAATTCAGCATTCTTTAAAAACAAGTTATTCTTCTTTTTGGCGAATTGCTATTACCATGGATTTACCGTTGAGCAATGCAACCTACTCGCCACACCTACAGAGGTCCACAACAGCTCCAAGTTGAACAAAACTCACCCAGCACTTTTACTACATCATTCTGCCCTTCCTTCTTGTCATCGGTTTTACTGATTTTTAACTGTGGTGTTTTCTAAACCCCAGCACCAATCGGAGAAACACCACAACGGCAGCCACAGCTCTGAACTGGCACGAGGCACCCCTTACTGGATTTGCTCTGTATGTCACCCTCCCCCACCGGACAGCACGCCTAAGTGTGGTGATGCGGACGCGTCTCTGCTGCGGGGTCAAGTCCTGCGTCGACTCTGCTGCAGCAGAGATGACAGAGCACCCCAGGATTAGAGGTGATTAAACTTCTACATGAGTCCATCACCTCAGTGGCTTAGCAAATTTGCAAATCAGTGATTTGTTACAAAGGCTTCTGAATAGTCATAAAAATAACTGAAGAGGAACTACCATGCTCCAGTTTAACACTCCTGTTCCGCCACCCTGCCCAGGTGGCACGTTGTGCTTGGTCACAATGCCAGGCCCATTTTCTGCCTCACACAAGAGCCCTTTAACTAAACTCTGAACGCCGAATCCAGAGCATTTCAATTTCAGCCTTCCCAAGAAAAGTGTAAGAGAAATAACAGCAGCAACATTCCTGTTCTCAGCACTGCAGCAGCCATGCTCCAGGCCAGTATGCAAGCCCTCAAAGACTTTTCCCACCTGCTTTCCTTGGAAAAACCATGTCACCACTGCCCGGGCAATACGGGCTCAGCTTTCAGATCAGCTCCTCCATTTCTGGTTTCTACTGCAAGCTCAGAAGAGGCATGTGACAATTCCAAGGCACCTGCAACTCCTCTATGACCTGCCAGGTGTCGGGGACACATGGACAAGAAGCTGACCAAGGCAAGTGACCCCGAGCCACCCCTTACCCCTGTGTACGGGGTCACAAGCAACCTGCGTGTTTCTCTCACAAGTTTCTACAAGTCCAACACCCTGTTAAAGCCCACTGCAACTACGCTGTGCCCCATTCTAGAGCCTTCTCTAGCAGAAAAGAACTGCCGACAGCAAGCTGCTCAACAGCAGGGCACACTCAACTAAAAACCATACGCTTGTCAGAAACGTTACCCACCAGCAGCACGTGACACCAGGGACGGAGGGAAATTGAACAAATGCATATTTAGGCTTATCAGAAATCTGTTCCCTAGAACGCAAATAAAAGCCAGAAACACTATGAAGGGTGTTTTTTTTTCTTTTTCAATAGCAATCAGCTGCACAAGAAGCAAGAAAAAGTAAAGAAAGTAACAAAAGAAAGTTTCCAAATATTAAGGTAACTGTCAAACAGCTGTCAGCCACCCCACACTCCCTCAAGTTGGATTTAAGCACAAGACATCAGCTGTGGCTGCTGCAAGTGTTCCTCTCCATGTTGTGCCGCAGGTCCACCCCTTCCCACGGGTCTGAGGAAGGTGCAAGCCGGATGCAAGCCACCTCCTGCATACAGCCTTCTGACCCATACGCACTGCAAGGCACAGAACTAAGTCAGAGATATCAAGGAAGATGCCGAAAAGCACCAGAGAGATCTAAACCAGAGCGAGAGAGCAGCTGAACTGCCCAAGCTATGCTGAGAAAGGCCGTTCCCTCTGTGTGCTGCTGTGAGGCCTGTGGAACTGCAAGCCTGGAGAGAAGCAAAACGCGCACACTCTCGAGAACAAAAGGTCTTCAGCCACTTCCCTGCTTCAAGCCCAGTCTATGTACTCGAGCACTCAGGGCCTTTGCTTCTGTAGCACGGCAGTTCAGCAGCCTTTGCTTTTACCGAGTGTTTTGGAAGTACTTGAAGCAGAAAACAACTGAAGTCCCGTGCAACAGCCCTGTCCTGCAC